AGTATTTGGAGAAATTGGTATTAGGCTGCCTCGTAACTTTGTAAGAAAGAGAAATAAAGATATACCTCGAGTGGTAAAGATATATCTTTGTGGGTTATACCAACTACTGCTTCGAAATATGAAATGGAAATAATTGAACTTGTAACCAAAGAAAACTGGTAAAAGCTAATTTATTACGCGTTTTGGGTTTTTACAGATGTATGTAGGTGTTCGCGGACTCTATCGTGCTCTCAGCTTTTCGCACTGAGTCGGCGGGGGCTTCTGATTTGATATCTAATTACCTACTAAATTGTTCGAAGGAGAATTAAGACTCGATCTCACTAGAGTTTCCACGTCGACGAATGACTCGAAACTAGCCCGCTTTCTGGTCGCGTTTAGGCCCTGTATATAGCCAGATTTTCTCCGGAAAAATGGTAGCGGGGGTGTTCCTATGTGGTCCGATTCCAGAAACGTTCGTCGTCGTACCTCCTTGGTGGTACTTGTCTCGCGATATACAAATGTACCCTCGACTGGCTGGCGCCAGCCTGGCGTATGCCTTCAGGAAGGAATATAAAAAATTCGTGGAAAGATTCTCTGTACGTTACAATATCAACCGAGTACGTACTTCGTTACAAGGTTACAAGCCCACGTCTACCCAGTGCGACACAAACTGGGACCACGATCTTGAATCCGCAACATACTCATACATATACAATTGTATTTAACCAAAACTTGTAACTACACTATCTTTTACCAGTTTACTTTGGTTGTAAAATTCAATTATTCCATTTCCTGATTCGAAGCAGTAGTTGGTACAAACCCACGAAGATATACCTTTACAGCTCGAGGCATATCTTCATTTCTTCTTGTGAAAGTTAAGAGGCATTCAAACTTCAATTTCCACAAATTCTATCCTGATTATCAGGTGGCCACCCGTGCTGAAAGAAGCATCGGCTGGACTACGAATCCTATCCTGACTATCGGGTGGCCATCCGTGATGAAAGGAGCATCGGCCGGTCCACGCTATTTTCCCTTATAGAAAAATCCCAATCGCATCCAACCTCCGACCACACAAAGCTGCCTGGCCCTCGGCTCGTAACAACCAAAAACTTTAAGACATCTGCAATTTTTAAAATCCTTCAAAGCCTGTAGCTCCACTCTGGGTGAACCGATTTCGATCAAATTTTCAGCACGCATATAAGTTGCCGAGATCTACAAAAGGCATTCTTTAAATTTTTGTTATAGGTTCAGATAAAAATATTAAAAAACGAGGGTTTTTAATTTTTTCTTTTCATTCCAAGTAATAGTCAAATTAAACAAGAAAGCTTTTTAGTCTGCGTCTAGTAATAGTCTAAATCTAGTATCTAGTAATCTAGTATCTAAAAAACATTTTTTTTTAATTTTATTCATTGCATTTTAAAAGGTGTACGAACACTTTTGTGGGCCACTCTGTATATACGGATAAATACCCATTTTTACAGTACAGAACAGAAACATATAGCATTAACCCGCCGAAGACGAATGATTTTCGATGGTTGCGGGAGACGAATACAGGTCATTTTGACTTGTAATAAAATTTATGTTGGAAACTGGTGTCGTCACTGCCTTCGAATGTTGTCCTTATATGGAATGCTATAGTATACCAAGCCGTCTTATCGCTCGCAGGTCAAAATGACTCTGCATTCGACGTACAGTGGGTAACGAAAGTACATATTCGAACACTAGTACAACTTCGCGACTTTAACACCATATATTTAAATAGATATACATTGAAGGGAAAAAATACTCGATTTAGTGTAAAATGATATCTACATAATTAAAAAAACATTAAGGACATCGAATTTTCATGCAACATAAGTATTCGAACGTCTTATAAAATTCAGTCGAAAAGTTATAAAAATAAATTTTTTTATTAATTTTTATTAGTAATTTTATACCTCTATCGTTTAACAATATGTTTCAAGAAGTTTGACGTTTTAAAGATAAGTATTTATTTAAGATCGATGTCGTTTTTTTATCTCTATTTTATACGATTTGTTTATAATATGTATGTTTTTTGTTGCAACTCGTATGACCGAATTCACTTCATGGGGATACAAAGTTTTGTGTAAGGCACGTGTAAATATAAATTGTTATCTTAATTAGTTAATGCATTTGAAGAAATTTGTAAAAATAGATTGCAGTTTTGGTTGATTTTTCCCATGTTACATCAATATTAGCGGGTAAATGGGCCAAAACTGCATTCTAATTTTACAGATTCCTTCAAATGCATTAACAAATTATACACGACTGTCTATTCCCATGAAGTGAATTCGGTCATACCAGTTGCAACAAAAAACATACATACTATAAACAAATCATAAAATCGTGTAAAATAGAGATATAAAACAACATCGATCATAGATAAAGAATGATTTTTAAAATGTCAAACTTCTTGAAACATATTGTTAAACGATACAAGTATAAAATTAGTAATAAAAATTAATAAAAAGATGTATTTTTATAATTTCTCGACTGAATTTTATAAGGCGTTTGAATACTTATGTTGCACGAAAATTCGATGTTCCTTAATATTTTTTTAATTGTCTATATAACGTTTTACACTAAATCAAAAGTTTGTTGTATTTTGACATTTACATACTCTAATATATCGTACAGTACTTTTTTCCTTCAATGTATATTTATTTAAATATATAGCGTAGAAATCGATGTTATACTAGTGTTCGAATACTTTCGTTACCCACTGTACATGGGTTAAAACCGACAGAGAATCGGCGAATCAGCAGTTTAGGCAAACAGTTTATGTAAACAAGTTTTGAATTTTGTGGCATTGACTGGAAATACGTCTATTTTATCGCTGTTGTGTCATACCATGTATAACTCTGTATGTAAAACATAGGTGAGTACCGGCATGGCGGTTGACCGTTCATGCGCAGCCCTAAATTTTGAACTAAAACTTTGTTGTTATTATCATCATTATTTTTATTATTATTATTATTATTATTATTATTATCTTACCATGCTTTTTTGTACATAGTAATTACATTTGTTACATTTCTTTCTGTATTTATTGTCGTTGCTCTAATGCGAACAAACAGCAGACGGCATCAAGGGTCAAATGGTCAAGTCAGGCCCCGAGTTCTGGGTTCGAAAGAACCCGGACGTGGACACGGCGAGGATTAACCCTTAGCACTCCGAACCATTCTGGACGTTGGCTACCAGCTATTCAGCATCACTTTACGGCAGAAACGGGCATTTACAGACCCTTGTATTATTTAGTATGCTTTTGGAACTAACTAACATATTATAATGATATTGGACTTTTATGAATTGGCTGAAATCGAGAAATTTGCAAAAAAATCAATATTTTATTTTTTATAATTTTGTTATTGTTTGTTTTATAATTTTGTTTTGTTGTTGTAATCGCTATCTATGCGAACTCTTTCTCTCGTCGCCTTGTTGCTTGGACGATATCACTATCACTGCTATCAAAACGATAAACTAACTGTAGAAGAAAACCTTCTACAGTTAGTCTTTCTAACATATCTGTATAAACGTCTATCTGGAGCTCATCTTCGCTACTACTTGTTTCATGAGACTCATTCGTGTTTGAACGTTTTGCCATTGTTCTAATAAAAAATATGAATAAATACATAGGTTGAAAATTTCTAATTGTTATTACTAACTCACAAGATGATATTTGCTAAAAAAACTTTTACCAAACAATTTATTTACCAAGAGAAGAATCATTTTTCCGATTTTCTCATTCGTTAGATCTATCTATACCGCTCGACGCTTCAAACCAGACTGAGTTCAGCTTTGAAAATCTTTTGCTCCAGATTTTATGATTATAAATCTCA